ACAATTAAATTTATTTTTATTTTTATATAATTTTATAATATTGTTTTATTATTTATTCTTTAAACTCATTTTTCAAAATATTGAGTTACCCATCTTAATTAAATATTTAAAAATAGATTAGTAAATGACATGAATCAACCTAGACCATTTGGATTTAGTTTAAAAAATGTTTCGTTTGACCTAATTCAACCCACGAACATCTCTAAATTAAATATTGATTCAATTTCAAGCAAATTTTAATTTCGATATTATTAAAGTGTGGTTCCGAGGGTGAGGGAAAACTTCACTAGATTCCTTTAAATACTAAGAAAGAACTAAGCTTAAGAACTTAGGTTACACTAGAGCAAGTTAAGCTATGCAATCGGGTGATTGCCTCATTTTTTGCTTCACATGCTCTAAATGATGATAGACCCGAGCACATCACAACAATCCACAACAACAAAAAAAATATTGATCAACAGTTTTCAAGAGCGAGTATCGATTGTTGAACTCTAACAAGGTGGTCCATATTTCTTGCCCGTTGAAAAGGTACAATCTCCAATAATTTTACTCTTCCTAAAGAAGCTTTTCATTTGTAAACTTCATTTAGAGACCGGGTGAACAAAGAAAGAGATTTTGGTTGAAACAAAGGAAGTGTTCATGGTAATTTTTTAATACCAAAAGTATAGTCATTTCAAACGGAGTGTTGGATTCTGAAAAATGCTAATTCTAGCCTGTTAAATATAGGAGAGAAAAATGATAAAGACGTTCTATTTCTTACACGTAGTACACAAGTTGATCGTGTAGAGTGTACATAGTATCTTGGTAGTGGTTGTAGTAACACCAAACACAGTTATCTCATTTTTCAGGTATCTTATTTTCAGACATCTTATTTACAAACATTCTTTTAAATAAAATTTCTAATGGAACGATCAGAATCTTATAAGAAGCAATAACGATAGCACAAAGATAGAGATAGAGATGAGGAAAAGATGAGGAATATGAGTAAAAAGTGTATGAACAAAGGATGAGTTTGGTTGCACTTGTCCTTTAGTGGGGAGTGAAAAGATTGTTTGGAGGATTGTTGAGTAAAGGGACAAGAGAACCAGCTGTGTATGGACGTATGATTATTGATTTAGACATTGACGATAAAAAGCAATCAGTTTTGAGTCATTCACCACATCAAGGGTGTGAAGTTGAATGATTGATTCATTGCCCACATGCTTTGGTCTTCTCTCGTTGTTGACTCTCGAAAAAATGAGAGGTAGATAAATGAACTAAGACTATATTTGAATGAGAGTGATACCGATAATAGAATGACTAATAAAGGTTTTAAGGAAATGAAAGTGACTATATATACCGACAATGTGTACCTTCCTTATGGTGGTTCAACCATAAGAACTCTAAAGTTAAGCATATTTTATTTTGAGCAATTCTATGTTCGATGACCTCCTGAGAGATTTTTTTAGAATGCATGTGAGTGAGGACAAAAACATGTTGAAAGAAATCGTATTGTCTTGTAGGGATAGTCTTCACTCTTAGAAGAAGTTATAAGGAATCGTGTTGGTCTGTAAGGATGGAATCGTGTTGCTCTAGATCGAAACTAATAAGCAATGCAAATTAAAATCATGTATAAATGAAATATGATGAAAATACGATAAAATTTCAATCGATTTTAAACCATTCAGGGTCAATACAAAAATTCAATACACTTGTTTACCAATTATAAGATGTTTAATGAAGTTTACCCATGACTATGTGGACAACATGGACATCTCGGGTCAACACCCCTTTGTGGCTACAAAAAGCACACCCTAACCTCGACGTGTAGCATCAATCACCTGAATAGGAAATGTAAAAAGTGGTGAGTATTAAAAATATTTAGCAAGCAATCTACCTATAGGTTGTCATTGCACATTTATCCTAATAGGCTTCCACTGACTTTTCTTTGAGTAGTAGGAAGTTTGGGCCTAATCCCTAGTACTATTTGAGCATCTTGAGAGCCTCAAAGTTCTGAGCTTCTCTGGTTTGAATCTTACCTTTGAGGGGTCTATATAGGTTCTTCACCTTTCTATCCTTAACTAAGGTAGCTTGCTTCGCTGTAAACCCTAAATGACCAGTGACTTGGTGATATGAACCAAAACATCAATCATGCATATAAACTTCAAGGAAAATGTAAAGAAAAAGTTATTAAAATTATCAAAAGATGTTTCAATTCATGCCAAGAAGAATAAGTTTCATTGTTATACATTTTGGATGGATCGTAATTTAGAGTTATGATGTTTCATTAATGCATTTTAGAACTTTTTATTTATTTTTAAATGTTAAATTTACAAGGTTAATTATGAAGGTTACAAACTCTTAAAATGACGCGTGAAAAGTAAGGATTTTAGTTTGAGACGGTATAAACCCATGTATGTTATCTTTGTAAATAAGACTTGAAAATGCAATAATAAGAGCATTTTTTTGCTTGACTAAATTTCTTTGCAATTATATGTAGTTTAGATTGCATGTTTAGAATCATTCAAGCCTGACATGATCGATTTTGCTTGTGGAGTGATTTGAATCTCAATCCAATGTTCTTGTCTTAAAATATTTGATGAATAAAATAATCCGAATGTTACTTCCTTTAGAGTGATTCTTTATCATTAGGGCTAAGTGTTCTTACCTTTCCTTTAGCCAAGGGCGAAGTTCTTTGCAATTCGATGTAATTTAGGTTGCATGTTTAGAATCATTCAAGCTTGACATGATCGATTTTGCTTGTGAAATGATTTGAATCTCAAACAAGTGTTTTTGCGGTGAGATATTTGATCAACAAGGTAATCTGAATCTTACTTCCTTTGTAGTGATTCCTTATCATTTGGTATCAGAGTTTTCCCTTGTGTTGATTCCTTATCACCTGGGTTAAAGCGCTACCTCATATAGTTTTGATAAGGTTGTAGGGTGTTATTATCTAGTTTGAACATCATCTATGAAAGGTTGGATGACGCCTCCCACATGACCATAAAGTCACCTAATTAAGAGGGATGTGAACTCCCATGTCCCAGCCAGCTATTTGGTAATCCTACGTGGTCTCACACCCTCTGTTAAGAACGGGTTTATAGCACAGTAGCCTTGTTTAGGAAACCCCGACCATTTTCACTAGATTGGGTCACACACTACCTTATCGACCTATGTCTAACTCGACTGTGTTGCCACCAGGGTAGTGGAGAGCCTGAAGATACTGTTCACACAACTTATAGCCTGAGAGATACCTCGGTGATTCTTGGGTCGTGGAGGTCTACTAGTCTCCTAGGGCGCTTTGGTGGCTCGACATGGACTCTTTCCTATGACCGCTGCTCACGATCCTAAGGCGCTCAACCTACTAGAGGCTTTTGGACCCAAGTCGTCATGTAGTCAAGCTCTAACGCTCTATTCTAAATTCACGACTGTTACTCACAATCTACAAGGAGTACACTCATTCAAACACATGTAGCTAACATATATAGAGTCATATAGACAATCATACATGCTCAACGGGGAGATAATGTCCATCGATCACCCGGAGGGCATATTTCACGAAATTTCCATCCTTCTTTCCAAGGGAATAAATAATATTTGTGCATGGTACCCTTTAGAGTGCATTTATTAAATAATACAAACAAATCCTTTAATAAACTAAACTCACGAAAAGAAAATCATTCATTCAAGTTTGCAACAAACTAAACCGAACTAAGAGCATTCTAAAGCAAAACCAAAGTCCTTGTGAGTAACCTCGAAAAATATAAACTAAATTGAAACATAATCAACCAATTTGTGACCTAGTTTGAGATAGGATAACTAACCAATGTTTCTATCTAAACTGACAAGCATTAATCATCTAGCTCGTAACCCGACCCAAAATATTACCAATCAACCTGTGGTCCTAAAAACTAAAACTCTAGCCAACCAGCTCATGATAAGGATCCAAAACAGGGACGACTAACATATATCTTTGTGGTACAAATAATCAAAATACGCTAGATAATTAATTGTCACAATTTCATTTAGAAATATCAGGTCAAAAATTATAGAGCAAACACGTTCACGTATATTTAGAGGTTTCAAAACCATTAGAAATTCATCTTATGATTAATATATTATATTAGGAAAGCTTAAATATTCCATAAACTTACTCCAAACAATAAGACTCTTGAATAGACTAAAGTATAAGGAAACGAACCTAAAATGCAGTGAATCAAGCTAAGCCAAACCGAAAATCGGAGCAAAATCACAAACTAAAACGATGACAATACTCCTGAAACGATTTCAATCGGTCAATTAAAAATCAAACTAAGTTCAATCGAGTTGAACCGAATTAAATCGTATTGAACTAAGTTGAATCGAGTTGAACCATTGCAGCTGGGAAGAAAAATTCTTTCAATTTCAGAAACTCTTGCATTGCATTCGGTACTAACAGAATCATACACCAACTGCGTTCGCATGTCTAAGTCGGCACTAATCCTATATTCTCCGTTTTAGTTCCATAATTGAGTAAATATCCAGATCCATAGCCCATTGAATACCCAATTCACCCTTCGAAAGGAGTATACACACTTGATCGAGGTAATAGTAGAGATGGTAGGAGAACTATAGTCAAAGAAGCCGTAGGTCCATTAAAATTGATCTTGTATACGTCGATTAAAACAGACACTGAAACATCCAAACGAACCAGTAGAGGCAGCTCTGGCAGAAACAACAACAAAAAGACTAATTTTAGTTGATCACCTATCCAACACAGAGAAAACAGGATAAGTGGCAAGAACTTACTAGAGTTTAGATACCAATTAGCTACTAGCCCTAAAGATTGAGTCAAATAGTGTCACAACTTAACTCGTCGTACGTGATACATTGTTACTTATGAACATTTGATATTTGAGCTTCATGAAATTTTATATATTAATGCAACACGTATCCTGATTATATTACAACTTGATCTCAAAGTGAAAATCTCGATGAACGATATGCAAAGTACGAAAGGAATTAATAGTACACGAAGAAAATTTTGAATAAGGCAACACTATAATACAATCCAAGTACTTGTGTCCTTGACAAAGCCATATTTATACAATATGTACTTATATATAAAAAAAAAATGGTAAAAGTAAAGACAATCCAACGGCTAAGATTACTCCAACACGATATACTCTAAACTCTAAAAGTTCATCACAGCTATTATACTTCACATTTTCCTCTCTTTTTCTTTTTCTTTTTCTTTTTATTATTTTTTGTTTCTAAAATACAATTGAACACAAAGAGATCATTAAAACATGAATTCAATTAGTTCTTGGAGCCACCCGCCGTGGGCTGTTGTTGATTCATTTGCTGAAACATCGTCGCAATTCTGCTGTACGCTTCCATCGTCATCGGCTGCATAAAACCGCCCAACCCGTTAAACATAATCGTTAATAACGCGAAAGCTTTTAAGTTTAGTAGTGGTTTAGCGTAGTAACCTGCGATTGACAGGCAAGAAATGCCGAGATGGGGTCTGCGATCATCATGGACGGAGAAGGTTGACGTTGGTCGTAAGTGCCTCCATCCCATGCAGCCATGGGCATGAAGGCGGTTGGGTGAAGCATCGGAGACATCCCGGCAGCGAGGCTGGATCGGGTAGCCATCATATTTAAATGATCGATTCCTAAAGCCATCCCCATCCCCATCCCGGCCATGCCCATTCCCAACCCCATCGGCGTTGCCATTAACGACGCCATTGGAAGCTGTTGTTGCATTGCTGCCATTGGGAGCATCATTGGCATGTTGATTCTACTCATCATTTGAATTTGAGCTTGTAATTGTTTCAAATATTCTATTACTTCGTCCAACATTGAAGCTTTGTCTGTCTATTAATGAACACAAAAAAAACATTGTTGTAAAATCAAGAAAAGGGAAAGAAAAAAAGGTATAGAAATGAAGGCAATGGGACCAAAGACAGCAGAAGTTTTTAATGTCTCCTGTCGTGTTCCTTTCAATTCTCTGTCAAACTTCACCTTCTTTCTCTTATCTTTTTGTAAGTACCCCATGTGGTCATGGTTCAATCAAACCCCATTGCTTTTTCCTCACAATCCACCCCCTCCCCTTGTCTATTTCACTAAGTTTTGGTATTAATTAATGCCCTACCCGACTTGTCAAAAGCCTCCATCTGTAATGCCCTAAACCCACCGCTAGTAGATATGTCCTCTTTGACCTTTCCCTTTCGGACTTCACCTCAAGATTTTTTATATTAATTAAGGTGGACAATTCCCGAGCATGCCTATCCAACTTGTCAAAAGACTCCATCTGTAACGGCCGAAGCCCACCGCTAGTAGATATTGTCCACTTTGAGCTTTTCCTTTCGGATTTTCCTTCAAAGTTTACAAAACGCGTATGCTATGAAGAGGTTTCCACACCCTTACAAAAAATGCTTCGTTCTCCTTTCCACCCCTTCGATATGAGATCCCACGTCGATTGAGAGGAGAATAAAATATTCTTTATAAGGGTGTGAAAGCTTCTTCCTAGCCGACTATATTTTAAAAATCTTGAAAGAGAACCTAAGAACAAAAAAAAAAAAAAAAACAATATCTCCTAGTGGTGAGCTTAGATAGTGAGCGTTCAACCTTCCTAAAAAAAAATTTCAAAAAATTATCGACTTTGACTCAACTTTTTACAAACATGCCCACCTAGAATTTTGATTTTAATCCCGTTCGTACAGTACTACAGGCTCTTTATCTTTGACATTCAAGTCCGAACACTATTTCGGAGAGAAATATTAAGATATCAGGAACCAGTCAGTTCTATACCAAAATTTAATAGATTAGTAAAAAAAAAAACGGCAGGCTGAATGAGTACCTTGTTGGAATTTGGGACCAACTTTTGCAATGTCTTAATCCTTTGGTTGATCTTATCTCTCCTTTTCTATAAAAGAATAATAACAAAAATTAGCACAAGAACAACAAATTACCCCATATATATATATACTAAGCTCTCCTAATATTACTTTGTGCTTTGCCACCATAATCATTCTCTAAAATTAGCCAACAATATATATATATATATATATACTTACACGTTCGGATTCGTTATGTATTACTGCAGCTCGACTTCTTTTAGTGGAAATTGAGGATTTTGGATTCTCTTTCTTTCTGTCTCCTCCATCTTCTTCTTCCACCTTCTCATTGCCCAAAAAAAAAAAAAAAAAAAAAAGAACTTTATTAATCAGACATTGAACCAATCAAAAAACAAAGATTTTATATTATAATTCAAAATTGTTATGGAAAAAAAAACTGGGATTTTAGATTTTGATTTGGTTAAAAAAATCTTGCCTGATATGTGCTATGGCAGACGGAATCATGGTCGTCGGTGGTCGTATTAACGCACCGCTTGCCGGAGCTCGTGTTATCCAGCGACCCATGAGACGTGGTGGCGGTGGCGGTGGCGGTGGCGGTGGCGGTGGCGGTGAAGTTTCTATCGTGGGTGTTCAACGTAGCGTCGCTGCCACTCACGCTGTTTTGATTCTGGCAAACACTCCACTCCCTCTCTGCGTGGACTGCACGCGCCACTACTCTCCCTCGTTCGGTAAATCTACAGTCCTCGTCCTCTAGCCCCACCGGAGTATCGCTTGACTCCACCGTTGCCTTGCCGGCGTCACCTGCCGCCGACTTGTCGCCATCGCATGGTACCATAGCGTCCATAGTCGTGGCGGCGGAAGCAGCCGACGTTTGTAGCGTTTGCTTATGGTGGTCGGAAAACCACGGCACCAAATCATTACCGCCACCACTGCCGTCGTCGGTGTTAACATCAAAACCAATCTTACCATGGCGAGTTCCTTGGTTCACCAAATACTCAAGCGTGCCACTTGCACGTGCCGGCTTATTTTCCCACGTGTACTTAGACCCATCACCACCACCGCCGCCGCCGCCGTGGTGAATCTTGCCGGTTACCCTCGGCAACCCCAGCCCATGCATAGCCAATTGCCCATTTTCCCATGTCAGCTCCGCGACTTCATACTCAAACCTACCAACAAAAAATTAAAAAATAAAATAAAACCCAAAAACAAAAAACCCCTTTAAAGAACAGAGAGAGAGAGAGAGAAAAGTACATGGGAACGACGTCGTCTGCGGCGGCGGAGGGCGGTGGGTCGGAGATGTCCCAATTAGGAACACACTGGCTCATTTTTTCGGTGGTGGAGAAAAAAGAGAGACGGTGGTATTTGTGATTTAAGAACGAAGATAATTAAGAACGTCCAGGCTGATGCTCTTTCTCCAATTCTCTCTCCTCTAAATAACTTTTTATTAAATAATCAATTAATAAAATGTTTATTATTTATTTAATTTTTTATATTTATTTATTACTTTATAAATTATTTATATTTTAGATTAATTTTTTCTTTTATCGAATTTAATTTGAAATATATTAAAATAATTTGTAAATTTCTGATATTAAATTCATTAAAAAAAATTATATTTGATTCTAGAATATCTTAGAATAAGTAGAGATAGGATTGAAAATGCAACCAAAGAGAAAGATTATAGTATATGATTATATAATATTATAAATTATAGAGATATATGAAGGACGTACGTCTAAGACATCGAAACCTGCACTCATTTCTTAATTATTTCAGTTTTTTTTTAGTCGAGATACACCATGTTAAAAAAGACTCTATTTAATTTGTGGGGACAACTTTTAGTCCCAACGAAGAGCTAGTGAGCGTATGACACGCCTAAAAGCCAATGAGTCCTTATAAAAGTGTTCTTAAATGGTTGGGATAATCTGACACCTTTTTATCTTATTTCGATCCTACATTCTTCATTTAATATGTCTATTCAACTCATTGGGTTGGTTTCATTTTTTAATAAGAGTTACTTGGTTGAAGAATTTTACGATCCGAACTTCACCCGGCCATATTAAGTTCAAAATAAAAATGAAAAAAAGATTACATGATAGCATTAATTTGAGAACCAAGTATTAGTTATTTAAAAGATATGTTATGACAGCAACAGATATTTATTAAAAAAAAAAAAGATTAATTATGTAACTATAGGTTATGAAGTGAATTTATATTATTTCACCTGTAAATATGTGACAGTGAAAAAAAAATATTATTTTAAATACAACATAAATGAAAACATTATATTATAAATTTAATGTGTGTGGAAACACGTGTCAAACACGTGGAAGTGAGTGTTGCCTAAATATCCAGATGACATATGGTGGCAGGAGGGACACGTTGGAGGAGAACGAGCCAGGTAATGCTTCTATTAAATTGAATAAATAATATCATTTTAAAATAAATTAATTTTTTTTTATTGAATTAATAATATTTTATTGACATTTTAATTATATTTCATTAATTTTTTTTAAAGATAGAATATAAATGTTAATTTATTCCTCGTGCTTATATCGATTCCATAAACATATGGAAATGCTGGTATGTGACAAAAATTTAAAAGTACTAAATTTTTATATTTATAATTTTTTAATGCTTTATGTTTTTTTTATTTATTTCAACTCAAGTTTATATAATATATAATATTATTATTATTATGAAATAATATAGTTAAGACTTTTAAGTTTGTTCTTATCGTTACACGTGTACGGACATTAGGGTTGATATAGCAGGTCGTTCCTTAACATTTTGCCACGTGTCGTCCACGTGCTGTTCCTACGTCTTGCAGTCGTGGAGTTTTTTGATTGGTCGGCTTCATCGAAGCCCGTCTCTCTTCCTTTTCCGATGGTTCTATTTCACGTGCTAACCATATAAAAAAATTTAGATTAAATTAATTAAAATATATTTGAAAGTTCAATATTTTAAAAATTTTAAAAATACTTTTTACGATTATTTTTAAATCAAAATGGTTAAGATTTTGTCTAAGAAAATATTTAAATAACAATACTTTGAAACTTTTTTTAAAACTTTATTAACATTTAATTAATTCATTAATATACTATAATTAATTAATTAGAATAAAAATAAAGAAATATTTTTACATTAAACATTAATTAAATATAATTTAACTAAATAATAATATTGATAATAAAATTATATATAAAAGATTAATTATAAGTGCCTTAGTTAAAATTTAATGTGTAAATAATATATTGATATTTAATAATTAATATTAATTTATTAGATTAATGTCAATGATCACAAATAATAAAAGAAAATAATTGGACTCCCATTTGTTGGGATTGCTTTAGGTCAGTCTTTTATGGGCTGTGGGCCTCTTGAATTTGCTATCGAACGTTAGGGCACTCTCAATAGAATCATCAACAAAGCTAATGAGAGCCCAACATCAGGTAACATGCACTCATCGACGGCTCGACTCGATTCAGGAGTTAGAGTTACCATTGACATAGATAATTTATTCTGGAAATAAGTCATAAAACCAAAACAATTTTATACATAAAATCCCGTACTTTTTACTGCATACAAATAACCCGTGTAAGTTTTCAACGGCGAAAGCACATGTACATAAAACAGACTCATAAATGGATTTTTTTGTAGTCTCTAACCCACTCATCTTGTACTCGGTTAGCCTACATCTTCTATATCTAAAAAAAAAGTTAAATTAATTTTGATGAGTAATTAATTTACTCAGTTATATATTTCACGTTTCTCAAAATTATTTTTTAAGCTCACAATTAATAAATAATCCCACATATTTATTATTTATATGATACAAACGGTAACGATCTAATTTTTCTATTAAAAATAAGGTCATCACATGTATGACATGATTGTAAAGTGTGGAAATCTTCATTTAAATAATTTATAAATGATGTAATGGACTTGAACGTTTGAAATAAAATCCTTCAAAATAAAATAACAGAAAATAAATAACGTAAAATTTAAATAATATAAAGAAAAAATAAGACAATGCCTTAATCTAACCTAAGGGCTATGAAATAAACATAAAATGCAGCCTCCCTAAAACGTAAGAGTACCACATAGAATGTAAGAGTACCACATAGTTTGATTATTTTAAGAAATACTCTAACCTTACTAGTGGGGTTGGGAATGCAAACTCATGCAATATGATGAGACTAATCTTTTTAACATAGCATAGCATGACCTTGGACAGTTTTTTAGTCCTGGCAAAGTTGGATGTGTGATACTTCTCACCACATGACCCACGCGTGTGAGCATGGACCCACCAGGTGGGCTTGGACACCTCTTGGGCCTGGCTTGTCAGGCTAGCACTCGCTAACGAGCTCTATGCCAAACCACACGGAAGGAAATGACTCGCATAACATCATGGTGGACATCATGTCATAAATCATAAGTCATAATTTATGCGTTCGTGCTCATTATAGTGAGGAAGTATCCCGATGCATGTGTTACACAGATATGCATAAGTTCCCATAGCTTATAATCATGACTTAATGTATGATACAAGACAAACCTTTATCATAGTAAGTTTGTAAATTATACTTACATAATTCTTGTATATTATGTAGTATATAGCATGATCTAAAGAGGTTTATGCATCAAAATTAATGATTATATAATAACTTTATACAACATGGTACGGTCACAAAATAACATAGCTCTATAACCTGACATAGCATGTCATATCAAAGTATACCATTACATAACTTAGCATAGCATAACATAACTTATCATAACATAACCTACCAATCATACATATGACATGTGCTGCATCATACATAATGCACGACGAGGTGAGTTTTTGGTCCCTAACTCTTCTTTGCTATATGGTTTTCAAGTTTCATGACGACAAAATGCTCTATATTGAGCTGTAGATGGCAACATTAAGAGAAACCTCGCAAGTGGCCACACACTTCTTCCCTTGATTTGAGGAAGAAGATGATGGTATTTGAATTGGCCACATCAGCCCAGAACTACGATACTCCTTAGTTTTTCTCAAACTAAATTCAAACCAAACTTGTTCTTATAAAATTATTTATGGTTCCTAAAACTCGATTCAAAGATGGATCTATCAAAGAAAACTTGGAGCAATTCGGATATCAAAAGTTTGATAACTAAAGACCTGAACGTGAATAATGAGGTAAGTGAAATTCTTAGAATTTTTTTTAAGAAATACTTGTAGAAATCGCTTGGAATTCAATTTGAACCTTAATTTAAGTTAGTTTGAAAGGAATATGGAAGAATAAGCAAATAATAATGAGTTAAGGACCAAAATCGAATGTTTTGCTCGAGAATCAAATAACGTTAAAATAACTCACTAAACGAACTCTCATCCATGAAATTTTAATGCTAGGTATGAAATGATATTTCGAAGTTATACATGAAATTCGGTATTCATTGGATAAGGATAAGTAGTTAAATCAAGTAATGATGCAAAATAACCATAATGCCCTTATTATAAACTACCTCCATTTCATGACCCCCAAATGTGATGAAACTTTACAAGAGACCTTATTTTTATGATTTTTAAAGATCATGTAAAGTTTCAAAGTCATTGGAGCACGTTTAGGGACTAAACCAAGAATTAGGAATAAAATGACCAAAATGCCCTTGCAGACTTTATGATATTTCAAGGATAACGCCCTCCAGATGACTCAAGAATTTAAGAAGACTTATTTATAAGAACATAAAAGTTTACTCAAGATTTCAATAAAGTTTGGGAGAGATTAAGAACCTAACCCAAGGAAATGAGATATACGACCAAAATGAGGGACCTTAAAAGTTTTCAAGACCGTAAGGATTTCTCAAGGTTATAAGAGACTGAAGTATGACCTCAAGAAGGATTATACACATTAGGGGTATACCAAGGCTTATAAAAAATGACAAATTTACCCTCAATGACCCTAACTAAGATTCAAGATCCTTCTAAAATTTTCAAGGAACACGTTATGAGTTTATAATATTTTGACGGACTTATGCATGCTCATGAGCTTGGAATAGGACTTAAGAAATTAAGTAAAGACTTATGCATGGAGAGTATCTCTTAAAGCAAGAACCTAAGAACCCAAGAAAAAGCTCTAAGAACAAGAAATGAAGAGAAATGCAATACAAGTCCTAATTCCACTCAGATAAGAAGAGTGTTGGGTGCCACTCAAGAATAAAGGACGACGTGATCCCTAAATTTCCTAGGGTACGACCATGATTATGACTTGGACTAATCGCTTGGAACATAAGAAGCGTTAGATATAAGTTTTTCAGGCTGTATCACTTGGAACATAAGAAGGCTTGGATGTAGGTTTTTCAGACTGCATCAATTGAAATATAAGAAGCCTCAGATGCAGGTTTCAAACTACCCCATTTGGAACTTAAGAACCCTTGGGCATAGGTGTTCAGACTAGGCTAATTGGAACGTATGAAGCCCTGGGCATAAGTGTTCAAACTATACTAATTGGAACGTATGAAGCCTTGGGTATATGTTTTTAGATTGTCTCTCTTGGAACTTAAGAAACATTGGGTGTAGGTTTCACACTATATCGTAAGGAACACATGAAGTGTTGAGGATTGTTGGGAGTGAGTCCCACATTGACTAATTTAGGGAATGATCGTGAGTTTATAAGTAAAGAAATACATCTTAATTCGTATGAGGCCTTTTGAGAAAGCCCAAAGTAAGTGGATAATACCATACAATTGTGGAGATCTGTGATTCCATACAAGTAGACTACTTTTGGAGCAAATGTGGTGAATTCTTTCTTGTACTTCCTTGTAAGGAACCCATTTCGGTGTAACGCGGATACTTCGAATCCTGCTTGAACGAAACGGAAGATATTGTCGATAAATAGCGGGTCATGGATGTAGGCAGTTCTAGAGCAAGTGACACACAAAGTCACAACATTAAAATAGTCGTGACTCTATTATGAAGAATCTGGTTATGACAAATTCACAAAGTCACAACATTAAAATAGTCGTGACTCTATTATGAAGAATCTGGTTATGACAAATTTCCTCTTACTCATGACACGTATTCTTTCCATAGAACATGCTTAAGAACAATAATTATATTTTACCCTAAACATTAAAAATGTAACAAGAATTAAACTCCAATACAACATAAAAATCCACCAAAAGTTACCCTAAAAAACAACAATAATAAAAAGACAAGGATCGTAATCTTCTGCAACTTCCCCGCCGGCTTGCTCATCACCTCAGAAACAAACTACATGGAGTATGAAAACCCAAAAATTACTCAAACAAAAAACACTGCACGTGTGACTCTGGTACCTTCGTACAAAAAACTTAGAATCCTCCGCAGCTCAAATCTCGAGTCCCACAAGGTCAAATAACCCATTAATATCCCCTTCTCCCTCCCCCTTTCACCACTGTCGGCGACCCATAATTTAACCCCCAAAAAACTTATATATAAAAAAAAAAAGATCATCCTTTTGTGCAATATTCAATTCATTACAAGCTTAGCTGTTTTCTTTGTACTTTGTCGCTCTAAACAACAGGCACCCATATCTTATTTCTTGATCTTCGTCCTTTTCCCTCACCTTCCACTCACCTTCCAAAATCCCCATATAAAATCCCCATTTCTTCCTTCAAACCAATACCCATTAACCCCAATGGCCCTTCCAATTTCCCCACGAAGCCTCCGATCCGATGTGTACTCCTACTCCTACGAGGAGGGCTCGGGTACCCCTTTGGTCATCGGCGTTGTTGCGTCCTTGATCGAGAGGAGCATGGCCAGGAACCATCGGATTGCCAAGAATTGCATGTCCATGCCTAGAGATTCCAGGTCCAGGGCCCTTGTTTTTGAGTGCCGTGAGGCTCCCGACATGTCGATTCAGTGTTATTTGGAGAGGATTTTTCGGTATACTAAAGTTGGTCCTTCTGTTTACGTTGTTGCTTATGTTTATATTGATCGGTTTTGCCAACAAAATCCTGGGTTTCGGATCAGTCTTAGGAATGTTCATCGCCTTCTTATCACTACTGTCATGGTCGCTTCTAAATATGTCGAGGATATGTAAGTTTTTTTTTTTTTTTTTTTTTTTTTTTTTTTTTTTTTTTAAAAAANCCCCACGAAGCCTCCGATCCGATGTGTACTCCTACTCCTACGAGGAGGGCTCGGGTACCCCTTTGGTCATCGGCGTTGTTGCGTCCTTGATCGAGAGGAGCATGGCCAGGAACCATCGGATTGCCAAGAATTGCATGTCCATGCCTAGAGATTCCAGGTCCAGGGCCCTTGTTTTTGAGTGCCGTGAGGCTCCCGACATGTCGATTCAGTGTTATTTGGAGAGGATTTTTCGGTATACTAAAGTTGGTCCTTCTGTTTACGTTGTTGCTTATGTTTATATTGATCGGTTTTGCCAACAAAATCCTGGGTTTCGGATCAGTCTTAGGAATGTTCATCGCCTTCTTATCACTACTGTCATGGTCGCTTCTAAATATGTCGAGGATATGTAAGTTTTTTTTTTTTTTTTTTTCTCTTTCTTTTTCAAGCTTTGGATTGATTTTGGGTTGTAGAAGTAATAGGTTTACTCGAAAAGGTTACTTATTTGATGGTTAAGGTACCGGTGGTGATCCCGAGTTTCCAAATACATTGTCATTCCATTCGGGTCGAGACCCGTGAGAGATTTTACCTATATTTTACCATTTCTTCCACGAGTCCTCGATTAAACCTGTTCAATATTCCAATGCTGAGTCTTGAGTTTCCAAATACATTGTCTTTCCATTCAGGTCGAGACCCACGAGAGCTCTTACCTATATTTTACCATTTCTGTCATTCCTTTAACGAGTGAGTCCTCGAATAAATCTGTTCAACATTCCAATACTGAGTCTCGAGTTTCCAAACACATTGTCAATCCATTCAGGTTGAGACCCGCAAGAGCTTTTACCTATATTTTACCGTTTCTCCCATTCCTTTAACCAACTAGTCCTCGAGTAAACCTGTTCAACATTCCAATTGAGTCTCAAGTTTCCAAACACATTGTCGTTCCATTCGAGTCAAGACCCACGAGAGCTTTTACCTATATTTTACCATTTCTTCCATTTCTATAACCAATGAGTCCTCGAACAAACTTGTTCCACATTCCAATACTGAGTTGACCAAACGCGGGATCCCACCAACACTTCATATTGATAGGGGAGAAATTCACGGGCTCTCTTTTAATTAAGTTGGTAATATTTGTTGTCTTTTCTTGATAGGTGTTCTTCTAGCTCAATCTCAATTTATCGTTACTTTTGAAACAGGAACTATCGAAATTCGTACTATGCAAGAGTCGGGGGATTGACAACAAAGGAGATGAATCAACTAGAGCTGGATTTTTTGTTCATGATGGGATTCAAATGCCATGTAAATCTAAGTGTGTTTGAGAGTTATTGTTGCCATTTGGAGAGAGAAGTAAGCATTGGAGGAGGATACCATATAGAGAGGACATTAAGATGTGCTGAAGAGTTGAAGTCTAAACAAAGCCAACAAGCCTCATTTAATCAAATGGCTCGTATTACATTGTAAAGATCAAAGATGCTGCCTTTTTTGTATAGTTTATATGATAATATATATTAAAATGTCTTTGGTTCTTTTGAATCATTGTTTCATTTGCCGACACTTGCTTAATATTTACTCATGTAATATAAAGGACCTTATTGAATTATTATTCAATTGTATTAAATAATTTATCACTTAGTGAAGCTAAAGGGGAAGGTAGCTAAAAAAGTTATTGGGACTTGAATGAATCATGAGGTACATTGGTCATCACTTGTCCAAACTAGGCCCTACATGAGTCACATGCCTTAAATTCATGCCTAACATGAATAGTTTAGTGGGTCATGTGCCTAACCCCAATGAATTTTAAGCACTATTTCCTTTTTATGTCTATTTAATGGATTCATTTCTAAAGATTGATGGCGTTGTCGGGATACTTTTTACTCATCTTTGCAATAGGTTTCGAATAATACATATATATAGGTATTTGAGATGTGACTTCATCATGGTTCTTATTCGTAGCTCATCATATTATAGACATGTCAATTGAGATAGATTGTCTACTGGAGATTAGTTGATGATTCCCTAGCAGTGTTATGGCTCAAGTTTTTCAATGAGCTGTGACTCAAAACGATAATGTGGATGTAGTGTGAATGCGAGAAATATTTGAAAAGATGTCAATTCGAAAATCATTTATTTGAAAAGAAGAGAATTTCAATACAATGTAGCAAATTGTGACCAGTTTTGACATTGAAGATATATGAATGTTTGTGAAAGTAAAATGATAGGTTGACGCCCTAGACATGTTTTCCTCTGTGACAATCCACGTCTCTCAAATACGCACTCTCTCGACCTATGGCATCACACAACTGAAAAGGAAAAATATAGTAAAGATGAGTATAAAAGTTATACTCAGTAAGCAATCTACTTGTAGCCTCTCATCGTGTTCTAGGCTTAACAGAATCTCGTGGGCTTCTCATTGGCTCTAGGACGTCTGGTTCTAGTCTTATCCCCTTAGGGCTATTCTAGTTCTTCGTCCCTTCATTTTAAACCCTGAGAGTGGACCTCTGTGAGGTGCTACCAAATGCATGGCTCTATGAGACTTTATGTTGTCTTACCTAAGGGGTGAGCTGAAACCTCCCAGGTCCATAAAGTCACCCTCCTTGGGGGGCGTGATCTCTCCCTTATCCAATCCAGCTAATTGGATGTATGACGTGGGTCTCTCGTTCCCTATGCGAAACGGTTAGGTTAAGTTGGACTTTGATCAGAAACTCCTATTTCCACACGAAACTGTTGACACCGTTCAAACATCTTGCAAGCTAAGGACAACTCTTAAGGTGGTTCGTAAATCTGTATTGGTCTATTAGACTACTAGGAAAAATATTAGGTCTAAATTTAGTAACGGGCTACCCCAACCATAATTCTCTAGTCTTAACATAAAATCGGGCTCAATAACAATAACTAAATATGCACATAACAATTATCACACACATGCTCAACGTTGTAATAACATCCATCAATCACCCAGAATGCAGATCACAAATTTCCATCCTCCTTTCACCATCAATTAACATATATATTATGGAAACGTAAAACATAATAGCATCCTTCACAACATGCTTCTATATTCTTAATGTAACAATCATCTACGTTCATTTCATGGGAAAACTTTCTACCTAGGGTAAATATTCTAGCATGCATGCAAACCAAGCGAATCCTACAACTATTTTTGCCTAAAATTTCGTATGGTAACTTACATGATAGGCATGCCCTTCGTTTAGTGTTTTCACACGAATTAGGTGTTCACAAAGAGTGATTTTCTTCAATTAGGTCCTAATCACATAAAAATATGGTTAGAATTGGAATTAGGATGAAAATCGAGCAAACAGAAGTCGAACGGGTAAAAAAGTACCTTACACATGCTAGCCACGTGCTAGGAGTATCCACTCATAGGTTTCACGTGCGAGTATCATGCGTGGGCCAATTTTCTGCAGTTGCAGATCAGGCGTTCCAGTTTGAGTTGGTTCGGATTGTGGGTTAGCTGGTTCGGTTCGCTCGGGTTAGACTATGGGTCAGTTGGGCCGATGGGTTGTGGGTTGGATCAAGTTGGACCACGGGTTGCAGGTCGGACTGCGGGTTGCAAAATTCGCGTGTCACGATCCAATGGAGCCACGTTGTCCCACTCAATGTCTGACACATGTTGTTAAGATATGATTCAAAGTATTCAAAATGAAGATATGATTTAAAGTAGTTGAGATATGATTCAAATATTCAAACTACCAAGATTCGAGGAGATTGTTAGTAGATTTGAATTTATCTAGATTTCCATGATTTACTATTTCTGGTCCAGTATACAAGCTATAAATACTGGAATTGTGTAACTCTCTGAGCATCAAGTTAGTAGATAATAATAAAGCACGGCAGCTTTCATCGATTCTATCTTTTCATCTCTCTTTCACTATTTCATCTTCCAACAATTTTGGTATGAGAGCCAAGTTCGTTCGACAAGAGGGCGAATGATTATTTTATTTTCTTTCACAAAACAAAAATGGCAGTAGCTGATTTTTCTTTCTCTGCACAGTTGTTACCATCTTTAATGGTGAGAAATACGAGTGGTGGAGCATCAAGATGAATTGCTCAGATCGCAGGAGCTATGGGACTTGGTGGAGCACGGGTTTGTTGATGTATTAGAACCCACCATAGAAGAAAATGAGAGACTAAGAGAAACCAAGAAAAACATGCCAAGGCTCTATTCACTATTCAGCAAGCACATGAGGCTATCTTTTCACGAATTGCAGCAACAACCACATCAAAACAAGCATGGTCAATTCTACCGAAGGAGTTTCTAGGAGATTCAAAGGTCATGACAGTGAAATTGCAATCTCTAAGACGTGATTTTGAAACTCTATTCATGACGAATGTCAAATCAATTGATGATTTTTTGTCAAGAGCAATGGCAATAGTCAGTCAAAGCACCTATGGAGAGAAAATCTCAAACGAAACAATTGTTGCAAAGGTGTTAAGAAGCTTGACTCCAAAGTTTGACCATGTGGTGGCTGCCATAGAAGAAGCTAAGGATCTATCCATACTCTCAGTTGATGAACTAATGGGATCGCTTCAGGCTCATGAGGCAAGAATCAATACATCATCAGAAAAGAATGAAGAAAAGACACTACAAGTGAAAGAGACAAGCAACAACGAAGGCAACGAAAGAGAATATAGAAAATGCACTACAAGTGAAGGAGACAGCCAACAACTAAGGCAACGAAAGAGAAAATATAGAAAAGGCACCTACAAGTGAAGGAGACAGCCAACAATGAAGACAACGAAAAAGAAAATGTTCGTTTAGCAAGTAGAAGTCGTGGAAGGGGAGAATTTCGCAGCTTCCATGGTGGTCGTGATAACAGGGGTAGATGGATAAATGATGGACAAAGGCAGTTCAATGAGACAAGCAATATAAGGAATGTGATACGATGTTACCATTGCAGAAGGTATGGGCACACAAAATCTGATTGTTGGTATAAAGATCAACAAATAAATTTTGAAGCAGAAAATGAAGAAGAAGAAAAGTTTTTTATGGCGTGTACTGATATTAATGAAAAAGAAGGTGACTTATGGTTTGTTGATAGCGGATGTTCGAACCATATGACAGACACCAAATTCTTATTCAAAGAGCTTGATGAGACGCAAAAAATTAAGGTGCAACTTAGAAATACAAAAGAGATGCAAGTTGAGGAAAAAGACAGTAAAAGTTGAAACTAGTCTTGGTAAGATAAAACTCTTTGTTAGTGATACAAAACAAATTACAGTTGAAGTTTCCCCAAATGAAGAGACAAGAGTCGATTCCAGTGCATCTTCCAGCGCATCCACTACAACGCAAAGTGTGTCAAATTCATCATCTTTAGCATCACTGAACAACAATTCTTCTCTTGAAGAACTTTCGGATGAGACACCTCCAAGGAAGTATAAATCTTTAGCTGACATATATGCATCATGTCAATTTTCTCTTACTGTTTCAGACCCTATGAATTATGAAGAAGCAACTGAAAAAGAATACGGGAAGAAAGCCATGGTAGTAGAGATGCAGTCCGTTAAGAAAAATGGAACATGGGATATGGTTGACTTGCCAAACGAAAAGATCTATGGAGATTTACATGGGACATGCAGCCCATTGTGGTGGCCTGTTTATCAGTTTGATGAAGATTTACAAGAAGAGGTTTATGTAACACCGCTAGAGGGATTCATAAAGGAAGACAAATGAACAAAGGTATACAAGCTGAGACAGACATTGTACGGGTTAAAGCAGACATATTTACGAAGGCCTTGTAAAAAGAAAAGCTCTATACTTACATTTGCAACTTTGAACCAAGGGGGAGTGTTCGAGATATGATTCAAAGTATTCAAAATGAAGATATGATTTAAAGTAGTTGAAATATGATTCAAATATTCAAACTACCAAAATTTGGGGAGATTGTTAGTAGATTTGAATTTATCTAGATTTCCATGATTTACTATTTCTAGTACGGTGTATAAGTATAAATATTGGAATTGTGTAACCTCTGAGCATCAAGTCAGTAGACAATAATAAAGCACAACAGCTTTCATCGATTCTATCTTTTCATATCTCTTTCACTATTCCTTCTTCCAACCCATGTCCCTAGCCTGGTCGAGACGTGTTCTTCCTCTCGCTGTCGACGCGTGGCTTGCTGGAAAATTCCTCTCTTCTCCTAGTAGATGAAATCGCAGAGTTGGATTAGGTTTTCTTGATTTTTTTTTATTTTTTTTATTTTTATCTTTTATAACTCGAATCAAGACATTTTCTCCAACAACCTTACATATCATAGTCCCAACTACGTCCTGATTTATTTTCCTAGAATTTAATCATCAACCACAGATTGAGTTAAGAACGTTGGAAGTCAGTACACTTACCAAACACTTGTGTTGTTGAGAATTCTCGATTCTTAGAAAAAGGATGAGACGTCGCTATGATCTTCTTCTTCTAAGAAAGGACTATTGTGTCTAGATTTTGGTCGGAAATGAACTCCAATGGTAATTTTCAAAGCATTCTTCCGCATATTCTTGCTTCCAACTTCCTCTCTCTCCTCTTGACTTATTTGCTTCTCTGTTGACTTTGACCGATTATTTTTTACAAGTGTTACAAGTAGGTCGGGTAATGTTGTTGTCATCAAA